GTCTGGGCGCCCAGGGGACCAGGGGAGCCGCTGCCTGGTGAGCAGGGCCCTGCTATCCCCCCTCCCCCACTGCAGGGGGCGCCTTCCTTCAGGGCTGCAGGCGCCGGGGCTTTTGCCCTCTACCTCCTCCAGGTGGCGCCAGCCATGGGGAACTCCGAGGGCCGGTGAGGCAGGGCCTGGCGCGTGGCAAGGGTGGAGGGGGTGTCTAACTTAGGAGCCCTGCAGCGGGAGCCCCTGTGCTTCTGTCCCTGTCCCCTCCCACGTCTTATTTTTAGCCCCAGCCCAGCACCGTCCCTCTCGCCTCCCCCTAGGCCGAGAGGAAATGGTGGCCTCTCCCTCCAGTCTGCACGTTGCTCTAGCAACCAGGCCCAAACAGGCTGGCGGCTGGTTTCCATATCTGGCATCAGAGCCCGGCTGAGGACGGTGACTCAGCGGGCGGGTCAGCGTCTGGCCCAGTGCCCACCGCCCCTTGGCAGTGCTGCCCCCATTCTTCCCCAAAGTAGCCCGTACCCCATTTCTTCCTTATTCTTTTCCTCTCCGTGCCTGACCCTCTCATCCCTCTTTCTGAACTCTTTTCTGCCAGTTCTGGGAAGAATTAGGAACAGGATGCCCAGCCCTTCTCTGTTCTGCGCTGGGATGCAGCCATGTCTGTGCGTGGGGAGCCAGAGGGATGCAAGGGAAAGAGCTGGCCCCACATGGGCAAAGCCAGGGGCTCCCCTGCGAGCACTAGAGGATTTCCCACCCGTACCCGGGTATTGTCTGCCCAAGCGTGAGTCACATGAGGTTCCCACCCTTCCCAGCTCCTCCAGCCTGCCACACCCTGTCATCCCTGCCAGCCCAGCATGGGGCATCTGCCAGGTTTTCCTCTGCCAACCTCCAGGGGACTGGGGTGCAGGCAGTGCCATCCTGGGGCCAAATGCCTGGGCAGAGTCTGAGGACCCTTCCTAGGAAGAAAATGGCATTTGATGGTGGGCAGGCAGGATTAGGAAGGAGCAAGAAGGAGCCCTGGGCTCTGTTCTATCCCAGTCCTTTGTTGGGGTGTGCATGTGGCTCTGCAGCCGCAGAGCTCTGAGGTCTGAGTCATGAGCCCATGGGTGACAGTGGCTTCTTACCCACATATGGGAGCTCCCCGTGCCTAAGAAAACCGCAAAGGCATTTCCTCACCCACCTCTCTGTTTGTGGTTTTTCTCCTCTGTAGAATTGTCTTAGTCCTTGAGTTGCTTCTCTTTGTAGCATTAGTCCAGACCTCTAGGAGGGAAAGGGATGGGCCCCTGTGCAGTGGGGCACTGATACCAGCTCTGCACCCCACTTGCTGCAGGATCCTGGACATAGTTACCTGTTACCTGTGGCTCAATTTCCTCAATGACATAGTAACAGCACCAGTCTCAGAGGGTAGCTGTGATTATCTGAGTTAACATGATCGATGGCAAGTACACAATAAGCTCTATGTAAGTGTTGCTGCCATTATCATACTACTGCCACCCCAGCTTTGCCAGCAGGAGGAAGTAAAGAGGTTAGACTGAAGAAAAGACTCCTGTGTGAGTTAGACTCCCAGAGAACAGCGACACACACCTCTTTCCTTGGCCACCATCTGCCAGGCATGGGCAAGGAAAGGGTGTTGCCAAAGGGAGCGAGCACAAGAGCCCCTCTTCTCACACCAGGAGATGTGGGGGGCAGGACTAGGGCGTCTTCTGAAAGTCTCCCATCTTTCTCTCCTGCTTCCTCAGCTCAGGCAGGCTGGGTTGGGGACTGCCTTGTGCTGCAGTGGCTACCTTCTTCCACCTTCCAGCTCCTCTGTTTTCTCTGGAACTTGTTGGTTAGGGAAGAGGGAGGGGAAGAGGAAGAGTCCTAGATCAGTAGCTAGAATTGACTGGAACATGGTCCCTGTTCCTGGCCCGCAATGCTTGACTTTGGGCCATTCACCTTCCTCCTCTGCTCCTTGGTTTCCTCCTTTGTAAAAGGAGAGGGTTAAACTGACTCTCTAAGTTCCATCTAGTTCTCTAAATTCTGAGAGCCTCCCAGCATAGCCAGCTATAGCCATTGGCCTGCAGGGCAAAGAGGCCTCTTCAGGGAAGCCCTTGCCAGCCTGGGAGGTGGACCAAGGTGCTCAGAATCTATGTCTGCTGCTGGGTCACTTCATTTTACCAGTGGTTTTTCTTCATTCTCTCTCCTCCCCTTGCAGCTGCTTCAGCTTCGGAAAAGTTCTGAAGTCATGGAAAGTTGGGGCTGTGCTCCCAGCCAGGGGCTGGGCCGGATGGCAGCCAAAACCTGAGCTGGGTTTTGACTTTATTTTTAGCTTTTCTGACTGAGATGGAGGAGGGGAGGCATCCTCCAGTTCTGGAAGAGCCTCCTCTTGCAGGAGACAGACATGTTGCATTAAATACCTTGCTCTAAGGTGTGGCCTGAGGCCGGGGCTGAGCTGGCATGCAGGCCAGGGGAGCTCCCTCTAGGTCCTCCTGCCCTGCCCTTGCCCCTCTGGCTGTCACTGTATCCCTTTCCCAGTCCAGTAGAGCCAAGTTGGAGAGGGGGGAGCGACTCCTTTTTTGGACTCCTAAGCCAGTGGCACGAGAATACTGCCTAGGTCTCGTCCTATCACTCCAGAGTGTCTGCAAGTCTAGCCTTCTCTATCCCACTTCAGTGTGAATCATGGGGCCTCTTGGAGCTCAGGGCTTTTGTGGCAAAAGAAAAATGTTGACACTTTTCTCCTCTCTAGAATAGACCCCCGCCCATGTTTGGTTTTCCTTTTTTCCATCTGCTGGGGTGGGCTGTGCTCAAGGACGGATGAGTTACAGATGGCAGCTGAGACCAGGCCCCTTGGCTCTTTCCCTCCACTCCCTGGCTTCTTTCTCCCACCCTGTATTTGTGAAGGGATTGTATAGAAAGTTCTTGGATTTCCTGGAGTTTTTTTTTTTT